TATAATCTCAACATATGGGCAGCTGATAAACAATGACGTTATTTATTGTGCTACAATGAGACATGCTGTCCACAGCTTTTCAAATATCATACTTTGATGTTTTCTCAGCTTTTAACGATTTTATATCTTTATCAAATCAATATTGTGGTTTCTGGGTGTTGAGTTTGTCAAAGCAAACATTTGACTGACATCACTATGAGGGATCTGTGAAGTTGTGACAGTTGTCAGTCAATGTTTTCTGACAATTTACGAAGATAATTCTATTAACCAGAAAAGTTATAGTAACTAGCTGAAGTAATGAACTATATAAATGGAAACGATACTTCACTGCAGCCTAAAAAAACATGTTCAGTTAATAAACTTTAACAAACGTACACATTTGTGATATATGTTTTTTCAGAAACGTGGTCTTTGTGTTTTTGGTTGCTTTAGGTTCTGACATTTCACGATGGTAATACAGCTTCATTAGACCATGTGCATAATGTATAATCTGAAGAATACTGTCCATCCTGTCTCTACAGATGTTAAAGTCTCAGCTGGTCTCAGACACGAAGCAGCACAGTGAACGTGTGAAGTGTCAGCTCCTCCAGCAGCACTCACCTCAGGGCGCTCTGCGGGCTGAGAGTGTGGGAGCTCTGCATCGCTTTCAGCGGACTCCCGTCGAACACCACAGACATCGCTTGGTCTTTTAACATTCAAGCGTCACATTAAATCCTCCTCGGAGCTGACGGGGCTTCGACAGGAACAACTGAGGCTGTTTTTCTTAGTTTTTCTGTCCAGTACCAGATCTCTACCGCAGCGAGAGGGCACAACAAAGCCGGAAGATGAGACTTCTTCGTCGCCGGTAGAAAATACCGGACACAGGCGAGTGGCGTCACTGGCGACATCTAGTGGCGGTGACTTAATGACTCCACCGAGGAGGTTATGTTTGTACAGTGTGTAAGATTTAGGTGAAAGGGATCTATTGGCAGAAATAGAATGTAGAATAATCCTAATGATGTTTTTACTAGTTTGTTTCATCTAATTACATGTGGACTGTTGCTTCAGACTGTCTTAGTTTTAACCATGTGTACCTGTAATAATAATAATTATTATAATGATGATAGTAAGGACAACAATAATAATAATAATAATAATAATAATGATGACAGTAATAATAATAATCATAATTGTTTTTTATTGTTATTATTATGAAAATAATAATTATAATGATGGGGAGGAGGAGAAGAATGACTGAACTGCTTTTATTATGAAGGTCACGGGCTGTAGGACTGTTGCATCAGACCGCAACTTTTATTTTAACGAGGTGGGTGTACATAATAATAACAACAACAATAATAATAATAATTATGAGGATTATAATAATAAGATATTTGACGTGAAGGTCACGGGCTGTTAGAGAGTGCACTAATCACACACAAACAAGGTGTCACGCCCCCCAAAAAATAAAGAATATGATTTTATTATTTAAAATTTTATGAATGAAAATAAATACAAAATTACAATGTCAGATATTCACTGTCGGGCTGTTGCATCAGATGATGGGGATGGTGTTGTGGAGGGAGGAGCTTTTATTGTGGAGGTCTGGTTTAACAGAGCAACAATCAGCTGATCATGTTCAGTCGCCGGGGTCAGTGTCGGTGCTCGTGTCGGTGCTGTTGAGTCTGACGTGGACGGTGAAGTTGACCGGAGCGGGACACACCGACTGGAGGTGAGAGACGTAGAACTGTAGTTTTCATGACGCCGCGGGTTTGAACGTGAAGTTACGCTGACATTATATAAAACCTTCGACAGCGAGCAGCTAATCTCATCTCCCATGCTCGATCGCACAGTTCAGATTGTTCTCTAAAACTTTCCATCTATCTGAAATGATACCTGCGCATTTATACTCACTGTACTTTGTGTAAATAACATTAGGCCTTTAGCCAATCTCATTTATTGTTATAATTATTATTTTAGGTCATTTCACTGATGAATGTGTTCTTGTATTAAGCACACTAATTCAACAGTGGGATTAATGTGCAGATTTTGTCTGCACATTACTTTGCAGGCTGCACTAGTTTGCACTGAGTTCCTCTCCACGTCTGTGAAATCACCGACAAAGGATGGAGGGAAAGAAAAGAAAGGGAAAAAAACACTCCCTTTCACGTTTCAGTTTCGTTTCAGACTCCACGACCCTGTCATGGCCCCTTGTAAAGTCCAGCCTCAAGAGGAAAAACATGAGCTATAACAGTGAAATACCGATCTATTCAGAGACTTGTATGCTTCTGACCTGACAAATTGTACGTCCTGTATTATGCTGATAACTTGCCATTAAAATAATTTCTTTCTGCAGGAGTTTCGAGTCCAAACTGACCCAAGATTTACAACCAAAATGGCTCCGACTCTGGTTTGGAAATTATTACTTCATCTTAACTCTGAATATAGAAGATCAGTCCATCAAGTAGTTTGTTTGCTGTTTTTCTGTTTGCTATAGCAATTATTGAATAACTTTAGACATAGTGCTTCTAATGTCTTATAGTTTGAGTACATTTAGTATACTGTGTTTTATTTATGTTTAGCCCCGATTATGTCAGAAAGTCCAGTCAGATCAAATGTGCTGCTGTTTCTGCAAAGTCAAACACATTTCTGTGTCTTTTAATCCAAGGATATTGAGAAACTGCAGCCTGGGGACTTGATTGAAATCTCCCGTGGGATGTACCAGCACTGGGCTGTGTACACTGGTGATGGCTACGTTGTTCACGTGGCACCACCCTGTGAGTCCTGCCCCATAACCTCCTGGAATCACAAATCCAAATCAGTCCCAGTCTGTAATAAAAATCACCATTATCAGATAATAAATCAATAATTGGTGACTGATTCCTTTTTATTTACAGGTGAGGGCCCGGGAGCAGGCTCCAGCAGTGTGATGTCCGTCGTAGCTGACAGGGCCGTGGTGAAGAGAGAGTTCCTGTGGAACGTAGTGGGAGAAGATGATTGGCGAGTAAACAACGACCTGGACAATGAGTACCATCCCCTTCCAGGTTCTATCATTGTGAATGAGGCCATGCAATGGGTGGGCAAGGTGTTGCCGTACTCCGTCTTCAGCAAGAACTGTGAGCACTTTGTCAACAACCTACGCTACGGCAAACACGAGTCCCGTCAGGTAGGTAAAGACACATTGGTCTTTTATGTCCACGCTTCATGGGACCAGGGGACAGCCGATGCGGTTAGACTTCAGAGGAGTTTGAAGAGAGTTAGTAATAGTGACGTTTTCAGACATGACCTCCAGAGAATTGGGTAGGGACTTTCTCTGGAGTATGCCTTTCACACATGGACAACGTAGCAGGAGGTTCTCTGCTCAGACACGTTCACAACAGGAATCTTGTGACATAACCGGGACGTAACGTATTAATTCCACTGCAGAGGTCACATTTTTGTTTACATCAATACAGCTCTTATCACCAAAAATGCTGTTGTGTGTTAGAAATGTCATCAACACACACACTCATTTGTGGTAAATCCAGCAGAGCATCTCCTGCTGTGTTCTTACATTGGCTCTTTTGGACATTCTGTAGACTTTTTACCTGAGGACTGGCCGGGGAAACTCCGCAGAACGTCCAGAGGCTCCCAGTCAGACATTTGTATTCACACATACACATCCTTCAGAGAATGACAGGAGGCTTTCAGTGCATGTCTGAAAGCAACTTTTTAGAATTACAGCATATTAACAAGTAGTGGATATTTTTTTCAAAAAGTAGACATGTATAAATAGTTTTCAATGTGTGGATATTTTTATTTAGGGTTAAGCATGTCAAGAAAAACTCACCTCTTAATGAAGATGCATGTTTGTCTCTGCAGGTGAATCAAGTAAAAAGAATTGCCCTTGCTGCAGGCGGGACAGTAGCCGTCTTTGGAGGGATTTTGGGCTTCCTGGCTTTGATGAGAGGCAACAGAACATCAGACCGGAACACAGAGTGATTGAGGTCCCAAGTCGCCTGTCTCGGAATCAGTGCCTTGATAAACACATCACCAACAAAGTCTGGACCTAATCACAATCAAACTAAAGCACAGATTACTTTTTCTACCTTATCTTAACTTTACATCCTTTTTTCCCTCACACAAGGTTAAATGCAAGGTATTTTTTAGACATTTCTACAAATTTCCACTTAATAATGGGCCTCAATGAAAAATGTCTAAATATTTTTATAAGACAAATTGAAAATGACAGATAGTTTTGGGAGGTTTGTAAGAATGAGAATCTTTTCTACAGATTAGGGTTGTGTTTTTTTAAAATTCAAACTTATAAACAAGATGTTTCTAAAAGGTGCTCATTTAGGAGTAGTAGTGGGTATTTAATATCTTAATGTGGTTGATGGTATCTGAAGAAGAATATATAACACTCACGCATAATAAAATTGTTAACACGTCTCACAGGAAGGGCATTTTAATGTCATGTCACATCACGTTGTGCTAACTTTGTCACCTTCTGTTGATTAATTAAAAAAAGATTCAAAAGTAATTTGTTTGAATATCTATGTTGACATTATTGTTGTGTATTCTCTCTCCTGTAGTTTGTGCTTTTCCTTTTTGTCATTCTGCAGGTGTCTCTCACTGCAGGTCTGCCACAGCTACTTAGCTATTACCTTAACCTGTCACCAGAATTATTATTATTATTACTGACATTACTATATTACTATTGTTTGTCATTTTAGGAATGGTTGGATGTCTTTACAGTATTTGTAAGCTTGACCTTATTATGCAAAGTGCCTTAAGATAATGTACTCTGTTTTGATTTTGTGCTATTTGGTAAAAGTACAAATGCAGCTCACTGCATGTCTGCCATAACTACTTAGCTACTACCTTAACCTGTCACCAGAATTATTATTATTATTACTGACATTACTATATTACTATTGTTAGTCATTTTAGGAACGGTTGGATTTCTCTACAGTATTTTTAAGCTTGACCTTGCGATGCAAAGTGCCTTAAGATAATGTACTCTGTTTAGATTTTGTGCTATTTAGTAAAAGTACCAATGAAACAAGAATAATCCAATGCATGTTAAAGTTTTGATAAAGGGTTATCATCAAAGTTTAAATGTGACTGTGTTATTATTTTGTGACTTTTTTTACTATTAATACTGAAGCAACAGAGCATGAGCAGCATTTTACTGTTGTACCTGGTCACAGTGTAAGTACTGTAGTTGTAACTACTTTATATGCAGCCCAGTTTGGTAGTTCAGTCAAGTGTTTCCCAAAGTTCTGCTGCACAAATGTGTGTTCTTCAAAAATGAAAAATGATGTCAGAAAAAAAAATCTCTTTTAGCTTCATACAATTATTTAAATGAAACCAAGCCAAAAGGTTTGGGTATCACTGGTTTAATCTTTGACAATTAGTTTGACTTAATAAACTTATTTGAGATATTGCCTCTGGTATGTAGAGTATAAAGTACAGTACAAGTACCACATCACCATACTCCACGCCGGCGAAAGCCAGTGACATTATGTTTTTGGGTTGTCAGTCTGTCTGTCTGTCTCATTCTGGTGAACGCCAAATCTCAAGAACACCTCTAGGTAATTACATCAAGCAAATTTTTTTCATTGTGAACGGGATATCTCAAGAACACTGAAGAGTAGCAGACTTCAATAGCTTAAAACATTGAACTACAGCCAGGTTCATCACTTTTTTGGGTCCCCTAGAAACATTTCCAGTTTCGTTTTCACTTTTTGCAGCAAAGTGTCTGTATTTGGATGTGTTGTGACTTTGTGCAGCACGTGTTCACTAATTGATAGGGGTCTTAATGGAACTTTTTTTTTTTCTATCTTCATGTGTTTTCTTAATTTGCAGCGCGTTGAGCTCTCTCGGCCGCTGTACCTTTATGAGATTAGAGGTTTTAAACAAATGTAGCTATTTGAGCAAAGTAATGACTGAAATTCATTTGATTACACAATATTTTGTTGATCGGTGTTCATGGTATAAGATGGATAATACCATTCGATGATTGTAACAGATGATGGGACTGAGCATTTTGTGTGCGTCAACTTGTTCGATATCTTCAGTTATTCTTCAGCTAAGATATTAAATGACTTAATATTTGACAAGCTCAGATCATGCACCTGATCTAAATTTTAAAACATGGTTATTCAGAAGAGTAAAGAATGGTGGTATGTCACACTCATGACATAAGTCAGACCTTTAATGTAAACAAGAAGCATAAGTTTATGTTTGTTCTTTTTATTTAATAACAGCTTACATGCCACATGATTGAGATTCTCTGTAAACCAACGTCTGCTGTCTGAATAATGCAGCATAGTTTCTGACCCGACCAGCCCAAACCAGGACGTTAGCTCCGGTGGTGATGGATCCTGATTGTGTCAGCAGGCTTTTCTATACAGTATGTTGTATTGTAAGTGACACCAGACCTAACAACTGCATATCTAACACGGACAGGGTGAGATTGGGGGCCACACTTGAAAGTTTGTTGGAAAGACAGAATCGGCCGAGTTTGAGACATTTCAGGTCCACCTCTGAAATGTTCTGGGATGTGCAGATCAGACCTGCAATTCAATAAAGGCACAAATAAAAAGAGTAAAAGAAGTTTCGCCTTTAGCTAGACCACACAAAGTACTGACTCAAATTACTGCTGGGCAAATTTTAATATCCTCACATAATCCCAAAGGATTTTAGTGAGATCTGTGGGATTATAGAGCTAAAAGACCTTCAAAAGATTCCAAAATAAAACTCATTTGATTTTATAGCCCTCCACCACTGCACTTAACCTAATGAGAGACTGGGGAATAAAGTGTGGACACAGAAATGTATCTCCCTTAAAACCAGGTGTCTAGCTTCTACTCAACAATGACTGCCCACGGCCTGCAGGCTGAAGTTCATTGTCTCTGATTTCTCTGATCTTAAATCAGTCAAACGACCCAGTTGTCAGTTCAGAAAAATAAAATGCTGTGTGTGCAAAGTAAAGTCAGCACATCAATAAATTCATTTTGTTAGGCAACCCAAATGAACAAGTGCATGCATGGATTGATTTTAAATCTCCAATCTGTAATTAAGTGAAAGCTGAACTAAAACATTCATATCCACTGTGTGTGTGTTGTGTTTGTGTGCACAATTCAATACCATGTTTGCTTCTGAAATTTTGTTATATATACTATATATTTCTCTGTTTTAAAAAAAAGTGTGATTTCTTTGTGTCATTTTAAGACAAGATGCACCATTTATATACATTTAATTTACAACTGCAGGAGTTAAGAATTAAAAAAAAAAGAAAGAGTGGACATTTTTGTAGGATCACTTCTGCTGTAAGGAATACTGCTTTGTGCTGTTTCACGTCTCTCTGGGTTTTGTTTTCCTCCATCACCAAACCTGCATTCATAAAGCAATGGATCTTCACCCGTCATATGTCATTTGTTCAACGTTGAGAACCCTCGACCTCAGCAGGGGTTTCATTTTCCCCATTCTCAACCTACAAACCTCCATTACAGCAGCTTTCCACAGTATTCACAGCTGACTCTTCTTTCTGGTCCTTGACTTGCGGAATGTCAAGCCTCCATCACTGCTCTGGGATCAGTGATTTATTTAACAATCCATGCTCCCCCCTCTCCGTCCACACCCTCATCTCTCTCTCGCTCTGCATCCTCGTCAATCCAGCTTGCGTGCGCCCAATTTGAGAGGACCTTTAGCAGCTTTGCGCTCTGCCCGTTTCGCCTCCAGCTCTTTCCTCCTCTCCTCTCGTTTCTTCTTGGACAGCTCGGCCTTGCTGAGACCTAGACAGCAACCCCCCCCACCAAAAAAAAGGCAATTCAAGGCACAGACATACAATAGTTTTCATCTACCAAGAATAGTTTAGCATTAGTAGTGTGAATATAGGAGAATTGAAAGGGGTAAAACTGTCCTGTGATGTTTTACAGCAAATGGGATTAATCTCTGATAAGGGAGGCCAGCTGAGAAACTTACCCTGGGTTCCATCCACTGACTCCCAAGTCTCTTCAGATCCCCAGTCTCCTGTTGCCTCTGCAGCCCATCCATCTCCAGCCTGACCAGAGGAAAACACTGCACTGAAATCATCTAACCCTCAGGAAACCCTCTGTTTATCTTACTTATACTTTCTTCTTATCTTTCATTTTATCTGCTTTCCTTCACTTAGCTACTACAAAAAGAAACATTTAGATTCGTTTGCCTCCTCCTCCATACCTGCGTGTTGTATACATGATGGAAATCTGTAGTTTAGTTACATAGATTTTATGTCACTTTTTTGAACAGGACAACTGTGAGTATTTTACATCGTACACTGGAACACTTTAAACCTGTAAAATTGTTCAATATAGATGCAGCACTTTTTTCCTGAATTAAATTTATTTCAAATCTAATCCCTGCTAATTTAATCTGACTGCCTTTTGCTCTTATCTTTGCAGCCCCTCCATCCTCACCGTGGCAACAGCAGCGCTGGCTGCGTTTCTCTGGGACACGCTGGCGAACAAGTCGTTGTGACTGGCCCCCTTTGATGCGCTGCTGCTGTCCCAGTTGTAATCGCTTGCTAACCGCACCCCTTCTGGCAGGGAGAGCGTCTCATTTGCCAAAGTTGTATCTGTCTCCTCCTCCCCCCAGTCGTTGCCCCAGCCCTCCTCGCCAGCAGAGCTCTGTCCCGGGCCTTCCTTCTCATTGGACCAGCTGTCGTCAGCATCCCACCCTGAGCTGCTCCAATCAGAGCTCTGCTTCTTCACCGTCACGGAGGCGGTCGACCGGCCCACCTAGATATTAAAGAGATGATAAAAGACTGAAATGTAGACTCAACCATATACTGAACACAAACAACAACATAAACTACATTAAGTCCATACAGTTAGGTGAGTATATTTTGTGGTGTATCCAAATTAAAGGGCTCACTTGTCGGTCACCAGCCTTCTTTTTAGATGATGACCAGTCAGTGTTCCATTCATCGGGCTCTGTGCGAGCTTTCTCTGGCTCCTTGAGGAAAGTCAAACATTTATGTGATTTTCAGTTACATAACAGTATATCTATGTTCACACATGTATCTAAATGTATTTTAGTTTTCTATTTCAGTGAAAAGTGGTGAAATCTAACCTCCAAACTTCCCCAATCCTCCTCGTCATCCCAGCGGTCTCCTGTTGGCTCATCATCTTTGTCTGTTATTTCAAGAGTCTGTGATCGATTGGCATGACTAGAGGCAACATGGTGACTCAGAGAGGCTTGTGGAGTTTTATCATCCTCACCTAAGAAAGGAAGAAAAACAAAAGACAAAGTTTCAGGTATCCTATCTACGACTTTGCTGGTCCAGTGTAAATAATGAATGGACTTGAGTTCAAGATCAAAATAAAGACACACTCAGATCATCATTTTCTCCAGGATGACTAGTTAATCAAGTTTGATAACTCTACCAGGTGCAGGAGCAGCATCTGTGGTAGTAGTTGGGCTGGTGGTGTCAGTGGCCCCGCTGCCCTCAGCTGTTGCATCCCCTTCTGTCCCTGGAGCGTTGCGGATCAGCTTAGAAGTCAGCGAGGACATGCCAGTTACGGCCCAGCCGGCCCAACTCGAGGAAGCACCTGCAGGCTGAGCACATGACGCTACATCCTTTTCTGCAGGTCAGACATGTGAGACAAATATCAAGTTTTTGGTTTTAGAATTTCAGAAACTAAGACTACGATTTGAGTGAGAGAGATAAAAAATACACAACATATCATCATATGTTTTCTTTGCTGAATCATAAAAATAGACATTGTAGCTCAGACTACAGACCTATATCAGCCAGCTTGGTAGGGTCTTCTGACACAGTCTCCAGCTTGGAAAGGAAACTCTTGATGGCTTTGAAGGCCTGACAGAGAGAAAGACAACAGCACATCATGAGCAGAAACACATCAGCATGATCAAGTAAAAACAAAAAGGAGTTAAACATCAGTATATTTACAAATGGAATTAATAAGGCAGCAATTGTGAGAAAGTGTTAAGCCCAAAGAGCATATGGCCAAAGTAAAAAGAGCTGGTATCAAAAAGCCAGCTCAGTGAATTTGAAATTAACTTCCCTGTCTCATCCAAGAATTGTTGTTTTAAAATTAAGAAAGTGTGGGTATTGGAGAGAAATTGTAAAAACCTGACCAAACTGAAAAGTCACAAGTAAAAATAATCTACCTTAGTTTTGCTCTTGAATGATATTGACTACATTTTCTCTCTATTTGTTTGCTTCCTTTATCTGTATGTAACTGTAGACTCTTTAATCTGCCCTTGCTTGAAGTGAAATGAACATCTGCCTCTTAGTCTTAACAAAAACAAAATGGTTTCTTGTTCTGCTGGTAAGCAGATGAGTCACATCTGCATGAGTCAAATACATTTACACTCAACAATACAGTGGGTAGTCATCACTGTATTCTTTCATGCAATGATAATGTCATTAACTATTAACTTAAAATAAATTGACGCAATTTGCTGCTGATATAAAAGTTATCTTGAATATGCTATAACATTAATATAAATAATGACTAGTAATATTCATTCAGTGTTGAGTAATATCATGTTTACCTGGTCCCTGACGCTCTTATCAGGGTCAACAGTAATGGCACAGAGGGTGGGGAGGATGCGGGCAGCGATCTCCGTTACACTGTAGAAGTTGTGTGTTGCAGCGAAACCCAGCACACCAGCAGAACGGGAAGCTGGGAAGGGGTCTTTCGTGGCTCGTGAAAAGGCAGAAATCAGAACACGCTGTCGAGTCTGTGAATGTAAGGGTTACCATTTAATTCTTTTTGAACAGATTCTTACTGATGTGTTTTTTGCTAAAATGAACTCAGTGTTGCATGATGGTATGGGTGTTCTTTACCCCGGCGTTGAGGTAGGAGGCAATCTTGCCCAGGCAGACAGTGGTGTTACACCGGATTGGGCCTTGTTCATCTCGGGCCTGAAGCCGGGCAAAGTGACGCATGAGCTCTTGGTTCAGGTTGGTTTCATTCAGTTTGGGAGCCAGCAACAGCATCGACTGGAGTGGAAGAAAAAGAGGAGAGCGGTGGCTACAGCAGGCTGAAAACATCCAGAAGTATGCGGTTCCTTCTGCACTGTGGTTGTGTTGTGCAAACTACCTTAACAGTCTGTTCTCTGATGGCAGGGTTTGTGTCTGTGAAGCCGTGAACAATGTGAGGAAAAATCTGGGAGTTGACTGCTGCCTCGTTCAGATACTGAATGAACTGCTCCATCTGAGATACAGAGAGAAGGACAGAAAGAAGAAACAATGTTAGAGGGAATGAATGGTTTTCTCCTTTAGTATAGGCTTAACACCGAAAATTTTTCTTTTGCATTTGATTATACTTTTTCTTTCCTGGCTATAAGTTGAGTTGCATGTGTTAAATGGGAGAGCTGAGGGAAATAAAATAAAAATATACACTAATTCCCTGTACAACATTGATCTGACTAAAAGTCCTGCATGAAGATAAAACTGCCTCTCTGGGTGCAGATGAAACAGGCCTAAATTAAATACATAGTGTGGTTCAGGCTGCAATTTTCTGTCTGAACACAATCGAGCCCAAGAGAAAACTAATCAAGGACAACCTGAACCCAACAGGCATTCAGTTTTTTTTTTCTGAACCCTACCCAAGCCTGATGTTGTCCCTGATTACAGGCACGTGTAGAAAACATCAAGTATATACCCCAACCAACATGACTGCACCCGAATATCATTTCAAAATGTTATTCTGTATCCACATTCGCACCTGCTGCAGCAGTCGTATTCTCATGGCTCTGTCTGTGGAGGAAAACATCTTCACGATGACAGGGATAATCTTCTGTTGGTATTCTTCTGCCGAGAGGAACTTCCCTACCTGGCACAAAAAGACATAGATTAGTTCAGAAAGAAATTAAAAACTTTTAAATGGAAGCTCAAAAGACGTGCACTAAGATATGCATACCACTGTAACTATTTCTAACTTTGTCTCATTTTAGACGCTAACTTTTCAGACGCTTTACTTTGGAAATATTCTGACATGCATGAAGATTCTCTGGTAAAACCATTGATATTTCTTAGGGTGTAAAAGTTGCCCAGGGATGTCAGGATTTACCTTGAAGAGAGGCGTGAGGACGACAGCGCCCGCACTGCCAAACTCGAAGGCGGTGAGCAGCTGAGGAAGAACCTTATGTTTACAGAAGTCTTCGGGGAAGGAGTCCAGATTGTCACTGAGATCCTGGAAGAACTGCTGCTTCTCAGCCGGCTCCTTGATCTAGATAGGGTAATTTTATACTTTGAATTTATACTGTTATTATGTCAGCTAATACATATAATTAATAACTACTCAATTATGCTTTCAGATTGTGTTTCACTATGAAAAAATGTACTCAATCTCTACTTAAGTATAGTATGATTTCTTCTGCTGTGAAAGATTTATTCTTACTTCATTAAGTTTTATTCTTTTAAACATTTAGAATTGATCCAGAGAACTTTCTACTTTCAGAAGTTTCAGTTTCTGTCTTAGTATTTAATACTGTAGGTTATGACTGTTCTAATAGGGTGTGAATGTAGCTCTGAGGTTATGTGTTCAAGTCTGTGGACCTGTATCTCCTCCAGGAAAAGATTGCTTTCGACGAAGCTGTTGCTGAGGAATCCCCCAGTGGCTCTACAGTTCTGAAGAAACCGGGATGGATTGGGCCGAGCCCGGGGGTTGGCCCCCACCAGCTCACAGTAATGAGGGACCAAGGTCTTTGGGATCTGTGGGCACGAAGGGGACAAGAGAGAGGACTCAACTCTGTGAACCACACACAAAGATTATTTTAACTGTATATACATATACTTTTGTGCATGTAAAAGGTCTGCAAAGTTACAAAGTCTACAGTCTGCGAAAAAGGGCACAGAGCACACTACACCTGAAGAACCTGAAAAACCTTGCTTGAATTCCTCTACGTGTACGTCACCAGGTAAAACATGTCCTACTGGCTAGATTGGCTCAAAATAGCACAGCAGAACCACTGCTATTGTTACTGTAGCTACAGGTAAAGGGGGTGGCATTTCTGAACCATGCTCAAAACGTCCGACCAATCACACAAGTGTGAGCCAGCTGACCAATCAGGCAATCTGGACTTTTTGGGAGGCAAGAAAACACAAAGCGGATTGTTTCCGACACACAGCAGAAAAAGGCAACATACAGTTTGAGAAAAACAATGCATATTTTAAACATAACAGCACGTAAACCTATTCATGTAGACCCACAAATTAAAATTATGAACCTGTTCATGGCAAAAATATGGAGTGACAAAAACATTGTTGAATATTTTTCATTCCTTTAAATTAAAACATTAAATAAATAGAAATACCATATTACATGTACATCATGTTTTCTACATTTTTTCCTCTGCTTGAGATTTGACTGGTGCTCTTTCAATTAAATCATCTTGCTGTGTGCCCTCTTCTTATGCAATGGTTTAATGGCACGTAAAAATAGCGCCACCTGCTGTTTATCAACATGAACCAACATCTAATATTCAAGCAACAGTAGTGGATGGAAACAAGCATCCATTTAAATTAATTTCCTACATTTGTATGAAAACCCATATCATAAGGACAATACTGACGATACAACCTGATGAATATTTAGAGTATCTAAAAAGATATTTCATGGTACCCATAACAACTGTCAAGTAATAACAAGGAAACTAGAGGTGACGTACCTTTCCCAGTGAACGAAGGGAGGAAGTGCGAGGTAGTGGCCCATTGAATACTTCCCAGATCAGGCAGCCTAAACGCCATACCTCCCCTGCCCTGCAAGACATGAACATAGTGCATTACAAAAGGCAGTGACCATGGCCAGGTTTACCATCATCTAATCAACACATCACTCATTGATCTTGACATGGTCCTGAACCTCCCATTTCTATACTTTCTCCAAATATTTGCATTACTCCTCCCTTTTGATTCTTAACATATTATTATTCTGACAAGATCTTCTCACTTAGAGATAATTGAGAATGCTCTTTTACCATTTCTCTCCAGTGCTGTTGGACATCTCTGGTGGGTCATATTTCTCCATGTCTGGGTAAACAGCCTTTGGTGCAGGAAGCGAGACCCCGTTTGGGTCGCCCTGCTCAGGTGCCACATGGTCGAGGGCCCCTAGTTTCCACTCTCCAGCACGATCCACGAAAACAGACCCTACACCTAAGTTGTTATGAAGCAGGTGGCAGTCGTTGACCAGGAAACTAAGAGCTTTCTGTGGGATTGGGCAACGGTAGAGTAATCAGATAATGATGAGGACAGTGACAGAAATGGCAAAACTACATCTCGTCTGAAACTTTCAACTGGCACAAAATCCCATCCTTACCACTATCTGGTGCAGTCCCCAGGAGATCTCCAGTTCCCCGTCACCGCCCTTCTCTGCCTGGGCTTTCAGGTGGACTGCCAGAGGCGTCACCTGCTCAGTAACCAGGTAAAGGCTCTTCTCTGTCTGTAACAACCACAGAGAAGAGTAACTTTGATTCAATAGCTATTTTATTGCACCAGCATCACTGTCAAAAAACTCAATAATGAAAACGAAAGAACAGAAATACCTACAATGACAGTTGACTTAATACTGTGTCAGTTTGTCCATTTATTCAATGTAACAATGTCACAGAAAACAATAAACAATGCTGATTTAATCTCAATAGGTTTCTATTAAAAGGCAATAAAAGTTATTGCTGAATTATTATTCAACTACAGTGAAGTGAAAAACAATAGCCGTGTACAAACAGTAAGAATTTTACTTCATATAAGGAATCATACTATGTTAAGGAGTTGGGAAACATCGTTGTTGCTACTCAGTTTGAGGCTGTGTATTCAGGGGTCAGCATCTTTAGAATTATTAGTACACACAAACACAGAGAAGAAGGACGAAACTTAATATGGAGGCTATTTTATTTCAAACTATGGTTCAGATTCTCTTGACGAATCACAGTGTTGATGGACAGATTGCTAGTTCTTAATAATAATTAATAATCTGATATAATATATGATCCAATTATACACCTGTTGAGCACAAAAGCTGAGGAAACAACGAAAGAATCTGCAAATATTACGAAGCACACTACTCACTACAACTATCGTAGGCCTACAGTGGAATATTCACACTCACCTCTATCTGCAAACATGCAGAAAAGAGCAGATGGTTGAGATGAGACACAACTAATATACTTAGAGGGACAGTTCACCAAAAAATGAAACTTCACCCATTATCTACTCACCACTATGCCGATGGAGGGGTGGGTGAAGTGTTTGAGTGCACAAAACACTTCTGGAGATTCAGGGGTAAACAGCGTTGCAGCCGAATCCAATACAATTGAAGTAACTGGTGAGTTACTTCAATTGTAAAAAAAAAAAAAAAAAATGCCTCCATACTGCTCCTGTGGTGTCATCCAATTTAGCAAGCCCCGGAATTCAAATGGAAACGATCTGATTTACACCATGTTTGGCCTAAATGTCCTGATAGCCTCCTCTGAGGTGCGTTTACATACGCACTTGCCCGCTGGAAAGCCACACACACTCTCGCCCAAGGGCATGAGCTATGTGGCTACATCTGCGAGCATCGTCACTTCCAGTAGTGGAGTTTTAGACTTAAACACGGAGTAAATGACCTTGTTTCGAGTCAAATATGAATGTCAGGGCTTGCAGACACTTGGATGACACCACATGAGCAGTATGGAGGCATTTTGTGCTAGCCCTGAGACTCCAAAATTGTATGTGGACTTGAACACTTCACCCACCCCACCATCGTCATAGTGTTGAGTAAATAATGTTTAAAAATTGTAATTTTTCATTTAACTATCCCTTTAGCATTACAGACAGACAGTGGCAGCATGCAGAATTGGCAGAAGGTGCAAATGAACATACAAAAACATACAAACCTCTAATCCATCCACATAGGCCAGGATGTTGGGGTGTCGCAGGGTCTTCATACGCTTGTAGGCAGCCTTGGCCAGCTGTGTCTGCTGCTCTGTTCCCTGAGCTACGTCGTACACAAACACAGACACAGGCTCTCCACTGGTCTGAGGACACAGGATGGGGAAATGAATTTTCAATATTTTTGACAGTTTAAATGTTTCATTTTTGAACATTCATGTTCTATGATCAAATCAAGTTGGAGTTGATTTAAAACCCATCAGTCTCGTGTCACTACGTCATATTCAAATTGGCTGAATCAGGATGATGGAAACAGGAAGTTGTTATTTTGCTGTCATTGTGCATCACTGTGAGGACGGCTGTCTAGATTCAGCTTCACTACAGAGAGTTATGACAGTGGGTTGTATGAAGTGTTGTCAGTCGTCGATGAGAAACGTCACGTGTTGAGTTGAAGCTTCAGTCTGAACAAGGCTTGGATAAGACGCGTTAACTCGGTTTAAACCGGGTGACGTGGCGACAAATACGTGTCTGTGTGTGTGCGGATAAACAAAGCCTGCGAGCGCAACATTTATCTCGAGGCTGACATTCACACAGCCAGACAGAGGAGACACACACGGACACATCGATCTTGTTAACACGTCAGTGCGACACCGGACAACCCAAATACAAGCTTACTGACTGACAGGCCTCCATAATGAAGCGAGCTGAAGCTAACCGCTAGCGGAGGCTCTGCAGCGGTCTGCGTCCTTTTACCTTCCGCTTCCCGCGATGCAAAGTCCATATTCCAGACTTCTCCTGGGTGTCTGGAAGAAGTTCATAAGCGAAGTCTTTGACAGGATCCCTGGCGAAAAAGGACCACATCTCCTATTTCCTCCTCCACACCTCATCAAACACTACGGAGACTACTGGAGGCTAGCTGCTATGTAGCACGGATGTGAAGTGGCTCCGTGGGAAACTTGTTTCTGCCCTATAGTTCCGCAGTAAATTGGTGTCAGTAAACATGTTTAAATTCATTTTCTATTATTAAATTGAACTGAATATTCAAATGTATTTAATCTAGATTGAATTCTTAATATTACAACGTGAAATATTAACCATATGTCAGTCTAATAATCATATAGTAGCAAAATAATTACGACATTAAAAAAATATGTCAATTTATGAGATTGAGATTATAGACTTCCGGCACCACGTGGTTTTTCATAGCTGTAATGCTAACAGGCTCAAAACACCCCTCACTGCCATTTGGTTTGGTTTGGTAATTTATTTAATTCAATTTTTGGACTCTGCACAAATAACTCAGAAAGATATTTATGTACTCTTTTATTCACAGTTGTCAGTCATTATTGTGCTACTTAAGGCATTTGCAATCATGTGCAGTGAAATGATTTTTTTTAAAAAGCACTTCTTCTACCCATGGTAAAATCTGTCTTCTTGGATTCTCACATTTAAATTCAAACAAGTAGTTATGTAAAAAAAGATTCTAAGAATTAAATTGGGACTGACTGTAATTGTAATGTTTTCTGCACCCTATTGCACAGCATTCTTAAAAGCAAGACACCGCAGGGAATTGAACCCTGTCCTGACAGAGTCAGGAGTGCCACCACCGAGGTCTTTTGCTTTTTTGTTGTTGCTGTAATAAGGGCAAAAGCAAAACCTGGAGGAACAAAACCAAGACTTTGTTCCCCCAGGAAAAGAAAACCCCTCAGCACCTGGCTGCTATATTATTCTGTCACCACATGGGGATTTCTCTTGGTCACGAGGCTGAAACTAGAAGAAAGAGACAACTGGTTTCCCCAATCCCCAGCATTCCCCACAATGACACTGAATTGGCGTATGACTGATTTCTTCTTTTTGTTTCACTGGAGCATGATAGTTATATGTCAGTTTCCCATTTCTTTACACAGTCCTTTGCGTTTTTGTTGATCACTGCAAGGTCTTTTGGGCTGCAAGGGTTGGGTAGTAAAGGGCAAACAAGGCAGTGCTCCATAGTATGTTCTGATTCAAAGATATCCCTTTATCCATATTAGCAAAGCCACGATACCAGCGACCTTGATTATATAGAAAGCTGTTTTTCCTTGTGAAATTCAGCAGGATTCAGGGATCAAGCGATCTGGTAAGGCTTTCTTGCCAAGTTTAACACTGTAACGGAAAGAAGATAGACATTGTAAGTCTCCCCACCCCCTCCCACCAAATATAATCAGTGTAATTTTTCGTTTACCGCCAATGGCGTCGCACCCTTTACCACAGCTATCATCCCTCCACGATGCACAATTCTTCAAAGCAATAAAGACCCTAGAAGCTGGCTGTACCAACACATCCCATGACTCCCTGCAGAGGGGTAAGTCACCTGGCTCAGTCGCAAGTTAAGCTGAACAAGAAATCTGAAAA